TTCCTATACAGAGCAATGACAGATCATTAACCTGTGTCTCCATCCCTTCCTGGCTGAACACCAGGGATTTCTGCTGGTCTGCAGAGTTTACTTCAAAGTAAAGTATCATCCATTAAAATCCAGTGGGGATGCATGTGCTTTACCAAGTATGGAAAAAATATCAGAACAGATGAGCAAAAGTGAAATTAATGCTGTTCAAGAGTCTCTGGGTGTTTAGCAGTAATGTAGGCTATGTTGATTAACAGCTATTAATAGCAGCTCTTTGTGAACTGAGTTTTCTTTTTTTCCTTTTTTTTTTTTTTTTTTCCCCTTCTACTGACAGTCTTTTATCAGACTTGTTCCTCAATAAAGCAGTTGGCAACTTGGAAGAAATCAATGCAAATCACCACATTCTGTATTGAACGCAGGATTTTATGTGGAGGGCTCATCTGTGATACGTGAATGAAGCTGGTTGCATTTTGATTTAATAAAAAAAAAAAAAAGTAATAGTTCCTATTTTCTGCAAGATGTAGACTTTATTTTTTTTAATAAACTATGAGTGAACATCTCCTAATTGTCTGCTAAACAGTTGATAAGATGATAGACACAGATCAGTTTGTCATTAGCATGTGCCTGTGTCATCTATGCACAGACTACATGTAGTAGAAGTTGCCTGCCTGAGAGAACAAACATAGTATCAGTTGAATAATTGCAATACAGAGAAAAAGATAAATGAAAGGATTTTTTAAATAAAATTGTGTATGCCTACAAATTGCATATTGCCCCATGTAAAGCTGTACTATTTTCATCATTCAGTGATATATGGGAAAATACATATTTTTCATTTGTGTATCAGTTTATTTTCTTGTACCTACAGAATCTGTACCTGATGACTGAAAAACGTTTTCATTTCTTGGTGTAGAGAAAATAAATTTTCAGATTGGAAAGCAAACTTCATTAGATTTGTACTCGGGTAAGAAATGCAGTGATTGCATAGATGAACCTTGTGCTGAGTATTTGTCAGAAGTCTTTAAGGAGACATAACTGTGCAAATGAGTTTTACTGAGAAGATGAGTGGCAGTGAAGTAAGGATAGTGACAGTCAAGGGTGCAAAAGCAGAAGATGAAGATGAGTTGCATGTCTTTTACTCTGTAGTTTCTTTTTTACTGTTTTGAGATCACCAGTCATTGGTTGAGAAGGTGAAAAGGTGGCACTCATACTGCAGAAAGAACAAATCCAAGCAGTAGTTATACTGTGGTAAAGATTGTTTCAGTAGAAAGGGAAAAAACTTGAAAAGCACTGATAAGCTGTATGTTATAATCCGTTATTGTTTGAATACACTTTTTTGCTGAATGCACCAGGAGATTACATCTTTGTTTTCACATGGCAAGGGTATTGTTTTAATTTTGTGTTCTCACTGGCTGGTGTAATATTGGTAATTATGTTATTCACTAGGAAAGTTTTCTACAGTTCTGCTTTAGTTTGGTGTTCTGTTTCAGCTTAGTGTAGGTATGTCCAATGACTTAGAAGTGTGTGATTGAATCAGGTGAGAATAGCTACATTTGCAGTTACATCTTCGGAATTTAAGCTGTTCAGGACTTGCAGGTGGGTAACAAAAAGTCTAGATGTGTAGAAGGCGTTTTCTAAAGTGTGGTATACTCAGATTGAGTCAGCCCTTCATCTGCAGCTGGGCAGGTGGAAGGAGATGGGCAAAGGCTTGAGAACAGCTGTTTTGAACCTGAGTATTACTTTGCCAGCTGGAGGGAGTTAATGTTATTTGCAAATAGAGCAGGATAGAAATATTTTTATAAGCACAAAATAAACCCATAAGAAGAAAATGATTGAGATGTTATCTGAATTGGTAACAGGATGCAGTGTAGCAGCGTTAAATCTTGCACTGAAAAAGTAATACAGAGGAGTCCTAGAGCTTGCTTCTTTTTTTTTTCTTTTATTTTGCTTTCATGGCCCTGCTTTTGATCAATTGCTTATTAACTGTTTCTTCTGCCTAGGTTTTTTTTTTTTTTTTTACTTGACTGATGTTAAGTCTATCTTTTAGGATTTGTGTTAACACAACACCACTTTAGAAGATGTGTTGATTTATGTGTGGTACTGATTATGTAGGTAAATCCATAATATTTAATGAAATAGAAGTTTAAAAAAATCTTGGTTATTATAAGACATGCATTTAGAATGAACTTAAATGAGCACGAGAAGTATCTGGTATTGGTCCTTTGATTTGGACAGCTTCACGTGGTAACATTTGGATCTGTATCAAAGTCTCTTGGGGATTTAAAGCATTCAGTAGATGCTGAATGATGTCTTCAGGACCTGTCTTAGAAGATTTCTGGTTAGCTGCCATAATTCTTTTGTGATGTAATTAAATCTTTAAAAGAATCATTGGTATTATAGAGATGTTCACATGCTGCAAATGGAGTGGTGTTTGAGAGAAGTAAAACTCAAACCCTTAGCTTATTGCATTTTTTTTTTTTTTCCTGTAAAATCCACTGCTTTAAGACAGTGTGAACTCTTTTTATCTAATGTGTTGAATTGCTTAGTTAAGGAAAACCTACCCTAGGCCATCTTTAGGGTGATCTTCTAGTGATTTAAAGAAGTTTCCAGAAGGTCTTTCTTCTGTCAGCCTGGATAAAGCACCGTTCACACAGGAATGCTCATGCTTTTAGTAACATGAGCTGTAGAAACTGGAGAATCTGTGAGTTTTTCTTGTTTCAAGATGTCAGTTGTATTGAACTATGTCCAAGAACAAAAGCAGTACATCTCAGAGACAAACATCTTGCTTGGTTTTGAGGAAATGCGCTGATAATTTCTCGAACTGTCAGGTTTATTTTGTTGGACTGTAACAAGGTCAGCTTTGCAAATGCAGCTACTATTCCAAATTACAAAGTCTTCCTGACCAAGGCAGCTGAGGAATATTTTCTTTTCCTTCACGTGTAAGGTGGTAGTAGCCAGTTATTCATGATCCTTGTCACTGTTGGAGAGGAACCCTTAAAAAGTTGAGGGAAGGAATGTCAGTCAGGTTTAAAACAGTATGTAGATTTTTCTGCAAATATTTACTTTAATTTGAGAAGTAATTAGGTGGCGCAGCCCTTAGATGATGTTTTGATGGGTTCAATTAGCTGCTGACACAGATAAAGGGACTGAGTCATGAATCTTTCTAATCTGTTAAAATATGCATTTTTTTTTTTTACAAGAACAAAGAAGCTCTGATATTCTTTTTGATGTCTTTGAAAGCTAACCTAAAATGGGTCTGTTCAATCTTTTTTAAAATTGCAGCTTTCATACATAGGCACAAAGCAGAATAATTTGTCAGAGTAATTTTTGAGCCTTGTTATAGTAGTTTTCATAGGTTATAAGGAAAGAAGTATTAAAAACTCCAAATGAAATAATCTATTTAATTATGTATGCTTTGCTTTGCTCTGCTTAATAAAGAAGTATATTGAATAACTAACCCCAAATTAGATTGGTTATTGTAGTAAAAATTTCAGCTGTAAAAATGCACAGTGTTGTTTTTTACTTCTTGGCTATAAAACTTAAGATGCATTTGGCTTGTGTGAGATTTACCTAATACATTAAATTGCTCAGCTGCTAGGGTTCACTAAATTTAAACAAAATAGTTGAAAAGAAAAAATGCAACCCCCCCTCCCCTGAAAACAACCCTAGAAAAAGAAATTGATTCATTTGGAGTAAATAGGGTCAGACTTAGGTGTCTTACTAGCATAAGGCGTCTAGACTAGCGTAAGATAGTAAATGGAAATTCCTGTCAATTTAGAAGTAGTGACTTGAACTTAGTTTTCTAACCCAAGTGTGTTTTTGCATTAAGAAACAAGCTGAACAAACTGTGGTACAACAGAATATAGTTCATGTTGAGAAATCCTGTTAAAAGCTAGTGATTGTGTAGACCTGCATTAAAAGCCTCCGTATGGTTGTGTTCCAACCACAAACACAATAGTTATTACCAAGCCTTTGTATTTTGTCTACATCTTTCCCACCGAAGTCTTGATTTAAAAAGAAAACAAACTTAATGTGATTCTAAATTATGAAAGCTTTTTTCAGAAAAGTGAAACACACTTTGAAGCATTAATAGTGAAAGTGTGATTCAGCATAGTTGGAAAAGCTCCCATTGCCTTATTAACCTTTCAAGCAAGCCCTTGAACATACTTTCCTGCAATTTTGCAAAATGTTGAATGCTTTTTATATGTGAGAAACTTGATGTTCAGCATTTAAAAGAGTTTGCTCTTTATTACATAGTTGGCAGAACCTTGTAATTGGTAGTTTGTCTTGCCATCTGTAGGAAAAATATTTTCATTCCCACAAAATATGTATGTACTTAAAAGTTGGAATGAATCTTGTATGTCTAGACTACATAGCTGAAATAACTTTTATTTAAAGTTTATTGCATGAGGTACCATGTGTTATTAAATAAACCCATATTTTAGTATTCCTTCACACTTCGTTGAAATGCTATACCTGCTTAGTTGGCTTTGTAGACTTAGATTATGATACTTTCAAGATATCTGCCAAAATTTATTTTGGCCTCTTAAAAGAAGATAATACATTTTAATGTTTTGACATTCTTTATGGAGTCATTGATATAATTCTGATCTCAATATGTATTTCAAAATGTTGCTAATTTTTTACAATGAAATGTGCTACCTTTAAAAGGCTCTTCTGTGTGCATGGAGTAGAGAGAATGTTGCTTATAATGTTGGTTAATATAAAGTCTGTGCTCCACACTGTAAATAACAAAATGTGCAAGTGAGGATTATATGTTTTGAGAACCTAGATTTTGTGACCTCTGGCTAAAAATTGTACACAGTGTTATCTTTCATGCTCCAATTGCAGTTTAGACAGAAAAGAAATAGTAATAACTTCCATCCGAAGTTGAGATTGTAATTTTATTTCTGTGGGCAATTTTAAATTTTGCTTGTAAGATGTTTTGAAAGAAAGACTTTGAAAGAAAGGTTTTGAAATAAATACATACTTTTTCTTCGGTTCTTACACAGGCAAAAGAAGTTGGTTTGCTTGATGCAGACATATATGGACCTTCAATTCCGAAGATGATGAACTTAAAAGGAAACCCAGAGTTAACACCAAGTAAGTGTGATTTTATTTTTTTTTCTTACTGCTTTTTTGTACAGAGATGAGCAGAGGAGAACATTCATTTATGCTTCCTTGGTGTGTGGTGTGGTACAGGAGGGATGCAAACAGAAATTGAAAACTGAGTGTGTTAATTTTTTATTTTTATTGCTGAGGCAACTTTCAAAGCTAGGTTGTACAGCTAGGACATATTCATGATCTTTTTTTAAGTGGCTCTGTTGCCTTTGGGATTTTCATAGATTGTTACTGAATGGACTGGAAAAAGTAACCAGGAAAGGAAGGTTATTGTCAGCTGGTTTAAAATTGCTATATAGGATCCCACTGTAGAACATCTTCAGATTAGACAACGGTAACAACATAAAACAAAATGAAAGCTGTCACCTGGGGGAGAAAAGTGACAAATCTAGGAAATAAAATAAATGTTATTACAGCACTTTGCCAGCCTCTGAGATGGTGGGATTTCAGTGCTTTGTTTTGCTCCTCCTATGGCAAAGTGCATGTAATCTTTATATATATATATATTTTATATATATCTTTATATATATATATAATTTTACTACAGTTCCATGCTACTAGCACTTGGCCTGCACCAAAATGAGCTAGGATTGTAGTCAAGAAAGGCCAAACTGGCAATAGTTGTTGACGGGGGGACTGAGTATGTGGACCAGATGAAATGTTAGAAAAAGGGGTTTCACCAAATAAGAAACTGTTTTTTTTAATATAGTTTTTAAATATAGATACACATATGTTATAAAATTTTAAATATATATATATGTATACACATATATATCTCTCATTAATATTTGTGGGAAGTCATTGCTAAGTAGTAGGCAAGTTAGATATTTCTTCCTCTTTCATTTGTGCCATGATCTTTTTGTATTTCCTCTGCTATTTATATTTACTCTGTATTTACTCTGCTATTGTTTTAAAATGTCTATTTCTAACTAATCTGTGTACATCTGTGGGTGTTGTAGTGGCTGTTTTGTATGTTCTCAGCTGGTAGAAAATGTGCAGGATGAAACAGTGCTAGCATAGAATGTTAGAATCATAGAATTGCTCAGATTACAAAAGACCTTCAAGATCAAGTTCAACCACAACCTAACCATACTATCCTGACTAACAACCCTCTGCTAAATCATATCCTTGAGCACCATATCCAAATGGATTTTAAGCACATCCAGGGATGGTGACTCAACCACCTACCTTGGGAGCCTATTCTGGTGCTTAATTACCCATTCTGTAAAGAAGTTTTTCCTGATATCCAACCTAAATGTCCCCTGGTACAATTTGAGGCCATTTCCCCAAATCTTTAACAGGTTATTATAGTGTGTGGAGTTAGCCTCTGAAAATAGAAGCGTGGCAAGTTTAGAATTGCTGTTTGTATTCTAATGCTTCTACCCTATGCTCTAGAAAGGGGTAATAATGTTACAGATATGCTGCAGGTGAACTAGAAGATGCATGCTTGTACAAGCAACTGTCAATTTGAGTACTTCTTACATTAAAGTACATAGCTTACAAATACAGACATTAGATACTTTCTTGCAGAGAAAGAGAGTTTGTTTTATTTATTGGGCTTATGTTTTAATTTTTGAAGGTAAAGGCTAATTCTGTTGTGTAATAAATAGGTGAACCCTCTCACGTATTATTGAGTTGATTCCTTATTTGTATTGGGAAGAATTCTGAAGTATTCTTATGTTCTCCTGTAATTTGTGCCCAGGGCAAAAATACACTTAATCTTGTATTTTATTAATCCACTCCACGTTCTGAGGAATTTTTTCACTCGGGGTGGTGACACACTGGAACAGGTTGCCCAGAGAGGTTGTGGATGCCCCATCCCTGCAGGCATTCAAGGCCAGGCTGGATGTGGCTCTGGGCAGCCTGGTCTAGTGGTTGGCAACCCTGCACATAGCAGGGGAGGGTTGAAATTAGATGATCTTTGAGGTCTTTTTTCAACCCAGGTCATTCTATGATTCTATGAAATTGAAATCTATATTATGAGCTAGAAACGAGGAGGAAGTTGCCCAATCTATTTATTTTGGCCGTACCATTTAATTTGCTAAGAATACAAGGACTTCAATTAAGGATTCATTCAGATACTGTGACAGCTCAGTGCTGTGATATGTAAATATTAGTGACTAGGGATGCTTTGAGGATACAGTTGAAAATTAACGATAGACTTTTATCTTCGCATGTTTCGTGTTGTGAAAAAACAAGGAGTTCAGTGTAGTAGAAATTAGAGGATTTCCCTGAGCTGAAATTGTCACTGTTGTCTAGTAAACATGTTTTGGAAGTGAAGATATATTCTTTCTGCTTTTGTACGGAACGTACAAGTGAATGCTATTAGAACCTTTAACAGAAATTGGATTTGTGTCTTTCAAAAGCAGGACATATAACACACGTCTACAGAGAAAATGATGTAACAATTTGGTGTGAATGATGGCAGGGTAGAATTTGTTTTTCAGAAGTTCTGTTAAGTTTCCTTTGGAGTTTAACTCCTGAGTTGATGCAGCTGTCGAGTAGCAACAATGACAGTGCTGACACAAAGATGGTTTGGTTGTGATAATGGGAAATACCATGACTCAGGAAATTTTCATAGTGAGCTTGAAGGATTTCATTATTTTAGTGACAACAGGATACAATTGCAAAACAAAGATCAATTGTAGGAGTGTCTGTGTTTTCACTTTAATGTATATAATGTATATTTGTATACATACATACATATAGGTATAGATATCAAAAGGATCATATTTTTCTATAATGAAGTTTAGCCTTACCTTCCAGTTTCTTTTTCAAAAATAAAACCACCTCTGAACGTGTATTGATTTGTACAGTAATTGAGCAAAGCCTGGCAGTTGTGTTAAAGACAGGCATTACTTATGTATGCTTAATAATCAGTAAGTCAATTAAAGATATTTTTAATAGCATAGCAGTCAAAAATATTACAAGGACTATTGCTTCTTCAGCATGAGGCCTGAATGTGAAAATGAGTAGCAGCATCCTTTATTACTGGTTACATACAGTAATCCGACAAGGTTCTGGTCACTCTTGTACTTGGATTTTTAAGATCTTCCTCATGCATAGCAGTGAAAAAGAGATTGGGATTGCTTGGTACTGTATAGAAGAAATCTGTGCAGCAATTATTGCTCTTGAATTGAGAATAATTATTCTGATATAATAAAGTTTTCAAAATGAATTAGGTGTTCTTCGTAAGGAAAGTCTGCATAAATGGGAGATGCTCAGCTTAATCTTGCAAGCTTTACTATGTTGGAAAGCCTGCTAATGTTTAATAGAGTATCATTCAAAATACTTTAAATGATCAGAGAAATACTGCTTAATAAGTTTATGACTGAGTTTAATTAGCTGATGGAGGATAATTTAACTATGGAATAAATACTAACATCAGCTATGATATATCAACGTTTCTAACACAAATAGTAAAAGCATTACTTAAACTCTTTGCTCAAATGATTTACTTAAAGCTGTTTTCTGACTCAGTAGGGAAATGATGTTGCCCTTTCACCAGATAACTGTAACATTCTTTCACTTAATTTTAATAATTATAAAGGTTTTAGTGGGCTTTCTTATTTATGGCAGTCGAACGCTCTCTTAATATTTCAAAACTTTGTTGCCATTTTGTGATGCCTTCAGTGCCCTTTTTATTTCTTTATAAAATAATATATTGAAAAGATCACTAGTAGATCTGTTCTTACTCTTTGGAATTAAAGAGTAGTTTCTGAGAGAAGCCAGCACTAGGTGTATCCCAGCCCTACTGAGGTTAATATTGCAAGAGCTATAGAAATGACATTACTGATAAAAGTATAAAATAAAACATGGATACTTGGCTCCCTGCCCAACTAGGATACAGTGCTAGTACAGACAGTATGTCTGCAGCACTTCAGTTTAACAGCAGATTCTGTAATACACAAAAATAAGGATTTTAAAATACGATTTATTGTGACTTTTATAAAGATGTCTACATGAAATAGCTTTATCAAGGATTTGAGGAATCCATTTTTTGATATGAATAGAAAATTTGAATTATGAATAGAAAACTTGCAGTGTACTAATTAAAGAAAATGTTACATTGATGGTGTGGTTGTTCATGTAACCATGAAGTTTCCTGGTCATATGTGAAGATTTAATTTTATAGAGCTTGTATTAATCAACAGAGATGTCTTTCTCATGCTTCACTGGTGAAGCAGCGTCATGATTAATTCAAGTAAAAACTAAATTTGATTCTCTCAATGTCATGTTTTGTACTGCTGCTGCTCTTGATTTGTAAACAAGTGGTTTTTAAATTGCCTGTAGTTCACAGAATCACAGAATCACCCGGGTTGGAAGGGACCTCAAGGATCATGTAGTTCCAACCCCCGTTCAATGTTACATGTTTATTCTTTTCTGAAAGTATTCTGAACTGAAATGTGGCGTTTTACTTTGATGTCCTACCACAGCTTATCTAGATAACTGAAACAGGTCTGTATTGCTTCCACTTTTTAGGCCATACAGTCCTGTCTTTGAAGATCTGTAAGGACCAGACCCTCCTTGAGTTTATCAGAGAACTCTCTTAAAATAATACTACTTTTTTTCTTTGATCAACATCCCCATCCCCAAATGTTTCTTTGTTTTTTAAACTTTATTTTTCACTTCAACAGTCTGATCTCCCATCCTCAATGATTTTGATGCCTGCTAGCTGTCCTTAGTCTAGAAAGCCTAATGTGCCTTTTTAACTTGTTCTCCTTTAGTTTCCAGAAACACTTGCTGTTTGCGCTATCCGTATTCATTGTATCTAGTTGGAGATTAAGCAGATGTGTCTGCACCACTAAGAATATCTGTTGATTTCATTATAGAAAAGAGACGGCAGCAGTCAGTGACATTGCTGATTGAAAATCCCTGCACTGATGAGAAGACTGCTTTGAGGTGGTTGTCTTTTCTTATTAGCCTGAAGGGCCATCTTACCTTCTCTGGCAAACGTGTTGAGAATAGGCTGTAAAGGTTAA